AAAGCGGCTGTCAGCCATCCTGCTGTGTGTTCTTTTTATCTGAGATCTTTCTTCTCCCGTTGCTGGTTAACTCCACTGTCTCTCACTTCCCTGTTCTGCCCACTTATCAGCCAATCAGCACACAGTGTCATCCATGTCGACCACCATGTGGTTGGGATTTTGGAGTACAGCAGGGGCGCACCTCTCTACAGACGGACACCAACGCTGCAGCAGAAAAAAAGCCTCTGGCTTTTCCTCCTCCCCAACACTCCCAGTGCTCCTGTTTACTTTTTTCATCTCCCAGTAAAACTTTTACACGAATCAGACACGATGCATTGTTTTGTTATTTCTTTTCTACTTTTATCGCGATAATACTGTAAGATTTGGGTTATCGTGAGTTGTCCACGTGCATCTTCAAACCCTGATAATGAGCAGACTGTGGTGAGTGTTTGTAGTGTGCAGAGGTCCGAGTAATCATGAACTCCTGAAACACAGACGAGCGTTTTGCGCTCTCAGCCTGCAGACGCTCCTGACAACTTTAAAGACCACAAACAGCTGAAGAGGAGCAGAGCGCTGGAATAAAAGCCGCTCTCTGCTCCCTTTGAACATGCTCACCCACATCTTCTTCTTTCTCGTCCATTCCTCCGCTGCTCACGGTCGTTAAACGTGAATGAAGCTCCTAACAACAAGTCGCGCGCGGTCACGGTAACAATATACCACAACTTCCGGTTACAGTTTTTAAAGAGAAAAGCTTCTGTGTGAGATACAGTGTGTCACCTTTCCTGTGAGATGTGTGAACTACAGCCGGATTTATTAGAGGTGTTTCTTTTCATAATTTCAGTGTTTTTTCTTCTGTTTTGACTTTTCTTTAAAGTCGGTTTAGTTTCAGTTAAATTTAATTGTTTCAGTTTAGTTTTTATTGTCTGAACTGTTTAGTTTTAGTTCCGTTTTATTGGCTCCAGTGTCACTTTTAAACTTTGTGGGTTTTATTGTATAGAGAGCATACGTCACAAAATCGTTTTTGGTTATAAAAATGTTTTCCACATCTATCTTTATTTATCTAGTTAGTTTTATAATAATAGTGATCTCCTGTTTTATATAAAGGCATGGATAAAAACACCAGTCAGATCTGTTGAAAATGCTTAAAGTGTCTGATGACTTTGCTCCAAAGGTCTCAAAAAGCCTTTTTAAAGTTCCTTTTCTCATTTTCTGCTAATACTCTCGTCCATCGCGTTCCTGTTGGTTTTACTTTGAGGGGTCCGTCTGTGAGCTTCCGGTCCAGTCTTGGCTGCTCAGGTCTCACTTTACGCTGTCATTTTGTAAACAGGGTATAACAGGGTGGGCCGCGCCCACCAATGATATGCAAACCATTCAGAAATAAATAAATAAAATAGAATAAAAGAGTTTTCCAGAGTTTTCCTACTAGATTATACTTTTTTGTTGAACTGCACGACATTTTACAGGGATATGAATATATAATTTTTACCACATTAAAAACTAAAGTGCAAGTTTTACTTTATTAATTAATACATTTTAAGCCCATGTTTATAAAACGCTGTAAAATACAGTATGTGCAGTATATATGATATAATATTTAATGTGTTTATTATTTATTAATTAAACGTAGTCATCTGCTGTTTAAACTTTACTCAATCTGACGCTCTGAGATTAAATTATTGAAAATAAGTGAGAAAAATATGAGTACAGTACAATTTTATAACCTGTTTCTCCTCTTTTACCACTGAAATACAGTACGGTAACAATTATTTAATTAATTA